TGTAGGTTTTTATGATATTAGACAATATTGTACACCATATGATTGTGTAAAAATTTGCCAAATACATCATTCATATTAATCGAATGGTTTAAAAGCTACAGGAGATATAATAAGTGAATTGCGGCAGTATATATTTAAATGCGTGTTTAAAGTATACCGAGTTGCTGCACAGACTTGTGTTGTTAGACAATATTGTAGATAATTTAATTTAAAAAAAAGTTGCTACAAGCATTATCCATATTAACCGAATGGTTTAGAAGTTACAAGAGATATAACAACAAAATGCATAATTAAGTCTCATGAACAATGTCGGCTAAAGTTGCACTATAAATAGTACAGCGGTCTAATATAAAAATCGAAAAAAATATTAATACATGTATTAATCTATTAATAACCTATTTAGCTAATTATCACATGTGTTATTAATTCATTTAATCGATAAAGTCGTTTTGTTTTGCCTCGTAACTTTGTTTTTGCAATTTTTCCGCATTGACTGTACGGAGTAAAGTATGGTAGGCGACATTCAGGCGCCTATATAAGGTTATTGGCGAATCTATAATGTGTGTATATATATATATATATATATATATATTATACTAGCTGACCCGACAGGCTTTGTCCTATACCCATGTCTACAATTCAAAAAATCTATGCTCTTTTTTTTAATCTTCGAGTAGGAGATTCCGCACTCAATTCTTTTAAATATTTTTTGGGTATCCTGGTAATTTTTGTAGTATTTTTTGAAAATTATTCAGTGAAACCCAAATCAGCCACATCACAACATATAGCATATATCAAACAAAGATATTGAAATATGTTCATTAAAAATGTATATACACTACATTTCTTAGAACGAATTTATTTTCAATATATCAATAATTATGTTTACTTCAATGTCAAAGAATCATGGACCTTACACTACACGGACTGTTCGTCAAAGGATAGAATGGGGCTGTGACATCATTTCCGAACGAACATTGCCGACAATCGTGGAACACACCCGATTGATGTCATATGTCATATGCCATATGTCACGTGCTTAGCCTATAAAATAAATCTTGTGTTTGAAACTGAAATATATAATTCATCTGCCAAACATCTACTGTATCTTATATTATTTTATTTTCTGGCACATCTCAGCTGCTTTTTGGCAATAATAATTTAGTCATTACATTTGTCTTATTCTATATTATATTCTAATATTTTCTAGACTCATAATTTAACCTAAATTCAAAATTCAAGTGAATTGATACTTCTGGCAGGCAACAATTCTCATGTGTAAACAAGTTTTCAATGTCAAACAATGATATATTGTTTTTTTGTTTTTTTTTCTACAATATTCCTATAGTTTTATAATTTATCACATCTTAAAAATTTCCTTTAACAAGCTTCAAAAAGATTTATCAAAAACCGAATAACCGTGTAGGAGGAGTTTGAATTCATGCATCCGTACAGAAGAATTATATATATGATATATTTAAATATATTCTTTATATATGTTTATATGAATACTAGAATGCTATAAATTGGCATTAGAGTTATTTATTTTCTTTATGTTTTTAATGTCAAACAATGACATGTTGTTTTTCGCAATTTTTTCGTTTATTTCTAAGTATTACTATAGTTTTATAATTCATCACATCTTAAAAATTTCCTTCAACAAGCTTCAAAAAGATTTATCAAAAACCGAATAACCGTGTAGGCGGAGTTTGAATTCATACATCCGTACAGAAGATTTTTTATGATATATATTTTGTATGATATATATAAATATATTTTATATATATATATATTTATATGAATACTAGAATGCTATAAATTGGCATTAGACTTATTTATTTTCTTTATGTTTTCAATGTCAAACAATGACATGTTGATTTTGTGCAATTTTTTTTTCGTTTATTTCTATAATATTACTATAGTTGTATAATTAATCATATCTTAAAAATTTTCTTTAACAAGCTCCGAAAAGATTTATCAAAATGCGAATAATCGTTTGAATTCATACATCCGTACAGAAGAATTTCAATACGATATATATATATATATATATATATAATATATATAAATATAAATATATATATATATACTAGCTGACCCGACAGACGTTGTTCTGTACCTACGTCTACAATTTTTCAATATTTTATACTAATATTTACTGCTTAGTTAAAAATAATAATTACTGTTTTTTGAATTACTATTTACACCAATATATAAGTGATGTTGAATGTAGAACTGTTTCAAATAAAATGATTGTTCTCAATTTCCACAGTTAACACTTTAATTATTTATTTAACAAATATTAAAAATGTTCAATAAAATTGTATATTAAAAATTATACACTGCGATTTATAGAACAAATTTATTTCCAATAGCTCAATTTATTTTATTGCATTTAAGGGTTATATAGTATTTTTAGCCATACCTGTAGATGTGGATGTATAAATGAATGATTTTTTGTTTATTCACGACTAAAACATTGATTTTCCAAATTTATCACACTAAAAATGATCGTCTGCCTTTTTGATTTATGGTCATAGCATAAGATACTCATGTTGAAAATTTAAATCTTTTAAAAAGTACAACAAATTCAGAAAGAATTAATATATAGCATTCGCGGCAAAGGTGCAATATCACCTTTTATTTTTCTCACCCAAAATAATTGCTTCAATAATGTTGCCTATAATTTTTATAATTTTGTACCATATTTTAACTGGCTTTAAGTAATTTTAATATCTAAATTGCATTTTTTTCTCTAATAAATCAATATACATTATTGCTTAAGTTTATATTTGAAGTGAATTAATTTGTCAAATCCTGTTCACATGTGCTCTATTCAACTTACGATCAACAAAATTATTGCTCTGTAAATTTTTTTTACTGTGCTCCAATTTACTTGATATTTTGGAAATAGGCTAATCTTTATCTTAATTTCAATGTTTTTAACAATTTGCACTCCGTCACCATCCACAGCATTAATTGGATTATTACTCTTTTAATTCTGATTTTATCAGAACTTGTAATACACTATTTTAAAGGTGATTAAATGAGCTACAACTTTCTCTATCATTAATTTTACCGTAACTTCTCTTATTGTAAAACGGCGAAGGGTTAAGGGCTCGAAAGACCTCTGGTTGGACAGCTCCTTAATTAATCATACATCTATCAATATTTGTGTAACGAAAAAATAATAAACAATAATAATTAGTCAGAAAAATACCTCGAATTTTCTTATATATATACTTTTATACGTATTCTTTCAGATGTATTATGATGAGAAATTGGTTGTTTTTTTTTAAATGTTTTTTTTTCATGAAATCATGAGTTTTTTAAGAATTATTTGTACTAAAGTTGTGGTATTTTCTAGAATCCATCAAGATCTCTTAAACCAAGTTAATTCTAGATTGAATACGATTATTTTTAATTTTGGTGGATATGGCACTCAAAGTATTTGATTTAAATGAAAAAAAAAACATTGCATGCGTCCTTTATCTGCATGATAGCTCACTCATTTTACACGCAGAAATACTCATTTTAAAGCTTATTTTGAGCACTATAAAAACCCATTTTCATATCTAGCCTAATAATGTTCCTAAAACACTATAAAATAACGATTTATTAAGATTTTAATTGATATAATTCTGTTCATTACATGATTTTCGTTAAAATGTATATTTTTGAAGGTGTTAGCAACAAATGATGAAAAACGCAAAAAAGAAACAAAAATTCAGTAGCCAGTAACTTGAAAAGTATTTCCTTTTTTGAAAAACATTATTAAATATTTTTCTCGTATAATTAGTTCTTTTATCGATACCCAACGTTATTTTGAAAAAAAGTAAAATTACACCACTGAAAAGAAATGTCATCCACCCGAGAAGTGGTAA